CTCCGGGGACCGGGGGGGGGGGTCCCTGTACCTGGGGCTCAAAGGTTTAAATGCGGGATTTAGTAAGTGGCGTGTGTCCCCGCGCGCTCCCGACGTGTGTACCATGGTGGGAACTTGATGTGGTGCTAGTGTGTGTTTGCGTGTGCGGCGTCGCTGGCGTTTGATGCGTGTGTTTCTGGGGTGTGTGTGTGTGTGTGTGTGTGTGTGTGTGTGTGTGTGTGTGTGTGTGTGTGTGTGTGTGTGTGTGTGTGTGTGTGTAGGGGAAGGGGGTGAAGAGAGAGGTCCTATAACCTACTTACGGCGCGATGTGTGTGTGCATGTTTGTGCGTATGTGTTTGTGTGTGTGTGTGCCTTTTTAATTAGGTCTCTCCAGCTTACACGGAATGGGATCCTTACTATAGGATCACGTAGCCATCGGGAAACCCGCTGTGGACTTCCTCTTGGGGCGCTGGGCTTGGGGTTTGGGGAGGATTATGGGGATATGGAGAGCATCTTATTTAACCCAATGTTGGTACCCTTGAAGGAAAATTCCTCCAAATGATGGAGTCGTGTTATGCTTGGACCTACCTTTAACATGAGAGAAATGACCAAACCCTGAGGGAAATGAGACGCTGTCACTTTAAATTCCACACTGGGCAGACTCCAGGATTCTGATGGGAATTTGGAGACACTGGGTAGTGGAACGGAGTGGGTAGAGGAACGGAGAAGTCAGCGGTGGGCTCCTTATCCAGGGCTTGGCAAGTCTGGGGCAGAGATCGGCCCTGCTTCTCTGTGTGTAATCCTAACAAATCACAGCACCTCCTGCTTCTGGTGCTGTGGGGGAGGATCTGGGCAAGTTTGCATGGATCCCCCTTCGGGGAAAGGAGAAAGCGTCCTCGGGGACTTACTAATCCATCACAGTTACACAGGGTCTCAGAGGAAATTTCATCTGGGGGCAGCTCTGGGTGATATGGAAGGAGATGGATAGGGGCACTTCCCTAAGACAGATTCCTCTTTCCTTCCCCATTTCAGGAAGGCTTGGGAGCCCCTAGAGAATCTCTTCCTAAATGTGCCTTCCTATGGCTCCACTGGAGTTAGGAGAATATTGGGAGAAGGCAGAGGTGGTGCATATACGTATGTGTGTGCTTCAGTACTGAGGGGGACCTACAGTTTGGGAAGGGGCTGTGGGTGGGGAACCTACGACAGAATGTGGCGGAACTGACTTAAACTGCTGTTGGTTTGCACCTCACATACATCTCTTGCTTGGCTCCAAAATACTGCCAAGGGCAGGGGGTCCGTGGAAAGAATCTCAGTAAGGAAGACAGTTTGGGTCAAGGCCATCTTTCCTCTTTACCTCCTAGAAGGCTCTATGGGTAAGTCCCTTGGCCACCCTGGCTAGGTACTGTTGGTTTTGGGCTCCAGGGCCAGCCATTGATTTGATTCCCGGCTGCCTGTTAAAGGCTTGCCCTACTCAGCAAAAATGCTGAGTTTTACTGCTGTTAGCATGGCTTCCAGACTCGGCAGCTGTTACTTTCTCAAGGTAAGCGGCAGCCGTTCTGCTCTCAGGCAGTGAGGTTAGGAGAAGACAAGGGCTGAGATGCTGGGACACAGCCTCTTGTATACCCTGGCTTGAAGGGGCCACCAAAAAGACCTCTTGGGAGAAAAAAGTAGAGATATACTTGGCTTCATATATCGACATATACAAGTATATATATATACATATACATTTTCTAGTGAGATAAAAGCAAACATGTGTTTGCAGGAACCTGCCCTGGCGGGTGGGTGACTGTTCTACCTGCAAGCACTTGCAGATGTGCCATTGTCTGGCCAGAGGCTGATACCTCAGGCTGAAGCCTTCACACAGCCATAGAGAATCTTGTTCAGGACGCTCATGTCAGAGCAGAGCTCCCTAGTTCAATATGGGTAGGGGGTGAGAAGGCAGAGGAGGAGACCCCATGTTGGCAATTGATGTCATTTTGTCTTTTCCAATTCATAGACAACCAAAGCTGAAAGGCATATTAAAAAGCAGGCAGGTAGGACTCTGTGGCCCAGAGAAGGGATGGGAATTTCCCAACATTCTCTAGCAAGTTGGTAGCATTCCCAGGACTAGAACCTAGGTTGCCTGTCAGCCAAATCAATGTTCTTTCCACTCCATCACGCTGCCCAGGGTATCTATATATTGCTCCCCACCCCTCCCCCACCATCATGATCCACCCAAGGCAAATACTTATCTTCCCTCATCAAACTTATTTCAGAGGTGCATTTCAAAGCTTCTCCATCTGGAAACATGACCCTGGAGAGAAAGTGATCAATGCCTCAATCACTCTCCCCACTAGACACAAACACACACACACAGAACATAGGTTCTTTCTCCAGTGTCCTCAAAAATTACACACAAGCAGGGACCCAATACTGATTGTGACTGGTAAACAGAATCCAACGAAGCATCTGGACTGTACTGAGTTCCTTACTAAAGAATACTTTACTTTCCAGAGAGCAAAGTGTACACCAATGCAAATACTTCAGGCAAATTAACTTCCTTATATTAATTAGAATCTTACCCCTATATATTTATGTATATTGTAGGCACAGGAACATATTCAAGCACACATATATACTTGCATTCATACATACATTTGCACACACAGATCCAGAAACCTTTCTTACTTGTTACATTGTCCAGAAAGAGAATTGTAACCTCTGCACAAAATTGTGTCCCACCTATAAGGGCATCTCTCACATAAAGATGGGCCTCATACACCCAGGGAATGGGAAATATAAAGCCCTGTGAAAGAGTTCCCTTGAAAAGTAAGACTTGAGCTCACTCAAAAGGGTACTCCCAGACTTCGAGATGCTTGTTCCAGGTTGCAAGCAGGTACTGAGAAATATCAGGGTTTTAGGCTGGTGTACAATAGAGCTTTTTCCATGTAGGCTTTTCCAGGGCTGGATGGTACTTTAGCTCCCAGAAGGGGGAGCTGTGACTCCATTTCAACCAAGGAGAAACAGCTCAGAGATTCCAAATCAGCTGTTGGGCCCCTGTTGAGTTTAGACAGCCCAGCTCAGGCTGTAATGAATATATTTGCAGAGGTACAGGCAGGGACCATAAAGATACTCTCCGCTGTTCAGTCCAAATATGGCATCTTTTTATTAGTGCTTGCAAAAGTTTATGTTATTGACCACAAAGCCCTCTATTTCTCTGAAAAGATCTTTGCCCAAAGGTCCTTTAGTTGTGTGAGGAGATACTTTCTGATTTGTACTTCTTTCTTTTCCCCTCCCAGTTCCTTAGACAAAGTCACCAGTACATGTCACCTGAGCAGGCCAGTAAAGTTAGACATACCTGACCCTTCTTCTCTTTTTACTTTCCTTGCTAAAATCCACATCTTAACAAATTAGCTATGGAACTACTGGTAACCATACCAAGACAAGATGGGGGACATGTGGAGAAGACAGATTTTCAAATGTCATACTTCAAATCATTCTCCCCACTGTTTTCCATTCTAACCCTTCTGAGGAAGATCTTATCATTATTTTCTCCATCTCCCATATTCCACCTCCACTTTTTAAACCCTACCCATATTTCAACATCCAGCTCAAATGACCCTTCTCTTTCTACCCTGTTTTTCTATATTATGTTGTCCGAAACTCTATTTCAGCTTGTGTCACTGATTTCCCTGTTTTACGGCACCATGGGTATAGATCTATCTTGCCCTGTTCAGTATGGTCTTCTCAGGAGCACCTTTGTATCCTCAGTGACCGACACATAGTAGTCGCTTTGTAAATGTTTGCTGTTGCATTTCATGTCCAGCCCCAATAGCAGCTGTCATCTCTCTTTCTCTTTCTCTGTCTCTTGCTCTTTCTCTCTGACA